CAGCACTGATTGGCTTTTGATTCGTTCCATGAAATCAGTCAGTATTTTTAGCAAAATCATTGACGGATAAGAAGAAACTGCGCAGAGGCAAGCGACAAGTAGTTTTTGAAGATGTGATCAGCCCTAATGATGATGATGACGAGTTCACAGAGGAAGCTGCAATTCGGCAACAATTGCAGCGTAAGTTCACTTCACTACAGTATCTCTTACCGTAAACTTCTCATCCTTCTTTATCCGCTGGTAACTCGGAGTTGATCACCCATAGTCCCCCAAAAATGACAGGAAAGTTTTTTGGCCACCGCGGACGCTGACGCTTATGATTGAGAAAGGATGTAAGCTATTGAGAAGACGAGGGCAATCGGGGTCTCGAAAATGAAAGGGATAGGAGCACGGTGCCCGGATAGCACGAGTACGGGTTCAGGCCCCTTCCGAAGCCGAAGTTTATTTCCATAAGTCGCCAATCTTGTGAGCAACAAAGGATTTCTAAGAACCGAGCGCAGAAAATTAAAATTTAAGTGGTAAACGTTGAAAAGCAGCAAATTTCACCTTGTCGGTGTACCCTTTTTCATTTCTTGATCAGTTCTTTGTTTTTGGGGACAAAACCGGCTACTCAGATCATCCCCAGGGGATCTTACTTATACGACATCTTTAACTCTCTCTATGAGACATTGGGAACCAACCACCCTGGGCTACCCCAGGCTTCAACCCTCAGCTGGCATCAGATAACGAGGGAAGAATTCAGTTTATCCCTAGGGAATTTGCAATCGTAGTAGTAGTAGTGGCAGTGATGAAGGAACAACATCGATTGTTCCCATTACTAATAGGATTGCAGCAGTAATTGAATGACCAAAACAACTGTGGCTGCATACGAAATGCCCACTATTTCATTCAATACATTCCCAATGAAAACATCGAGGCCTTCCTTGATGAGAGGTTAGAGTCGTTTGGAAAGTGGAATCAATGCAGCATGGACAAGCACCAATTCCACACTATGGTTGTTGTTGAAAAAGCTTGATTAACAATTCAGTCGTAGCCAGTGAAGTCTTGTTATGATTCCAAGTCTTTTTGACGGATGTCCTAATGAGACATTTTGAGGTATGGGACGAGGCTTAGGGTTCCATATAACAGTCAATGGGTACCGTTGTTGGTGGAATGGGGAAACTCGTGAGGACATCTGGTCGTGTCCTTAGACATGGGCCAGGATGAGCCGTAAAATGAAACTAGGTCGGTGACCTGAACCTGACAGCTTTCCCATAGTGTTCGTTCTGCAGTTTTTAATGGCATTTGTAAGCAGGGGTCTATGTTTTCCTCCAAGGCGCCGCTTCTTATTTTTTCTCATATTGCTATTTTTTCATTTTTTTCTCTCCTTGTAGGTTTCAATGCGAAAAAAGAGTTGGCGAAAAAAATAGTAGGGAGGGAGACCTTTCATGAGAAAGAAAAAAAACCTCATCGATAGCTGGCTCAGTCAAAGAACTGCTGTTCTGTGAACACCTTTATAAAGGGAAAACTCGAGGTGTTTCAGGGGGTGACCTAATTTCGTAGAGGCATTGACGCCTCTTGGCCCACGTTTTTAAAGTGATCAGCCAGTTGCAAAACGTAGGCACAACTTAACAACTTTCTACTCCAAAAGGCAATCGACAAATGTTGCTCTCCGATATTTGCCTTTACCTCGTGCAGACTTCTCCGATTTCCACTTCCTGGGGAAGCTAATCGTGTTAGAGCACTCCAAGGATTGAATTCTATCTGCTTTTTGGTCTCCTATCGAAGTGTTTTAAACATTTCAGAGCAGAACTATGATGCTCTTTTCTGTCGTGGATGAAAATCACTTCACAGTCAGCTCCATATCCAAATCCGTCCTCTCTAGAACGCCCTAACGTTCTCATATTTCCTAGAAAACCATTTCTTAATGAGATTATCAGGTCTGAAAGCGAGCGGCGTTAAGGAGGATATCCTTGTCTCGAATTACATTCTGCCAAAGGCTTTCGCCCGATCAATGAAGGCCCATTTCTGAGGAGCCTTCAGACCGTAAGCCCCAAGGCTTTTTCATTGTGAAAATTACAACGGATTGCGTGACACAAAGGGTTTTAGGGATCTGGGAAATTCTAATGAGCCCTACTCATGCTCTAATCAGTCCCTAATTCATAGGCCCCATTCCAGCTACAGCTTTACGAAAAAGCTCCTGATAGGATCATCAAAAAGTTCAAAAGCACCTAATCAAATTCCATTGCAGAGCTGTCTGATGAGGAATTGGCCGCACTAGCGGATATCGTTCGAGAGGAAATGATACGGTATGAACAGCCTCCGCAATTGGTCGCCATGCCACAGTATGAAATTATCGACGTCCCAGATGAAATGCTCGATAGCCAGGTATATGAGCCATTTCCAAGGGATCGAAGGGCAATGGCACCGATGGGATGGGCCGATCAAATGAATGATGAGCCTGAGGTGAGTCTATTTGAGCAAGTTCGTAGGTATCATATCTGATTCTGATGCCTTTGCAGTACGTCGTAGTTCCCGAAGAGGCTGTGATCGAAGCATTGAATGAAGAACGAGATGAACAGGAATTGAGGGAAAGAATCGCGGAAATCGCACAAATCCTTAATGAACGGGCAAATCGACGATCACGACTCTACTGAAAGGGCCCATAAAGCTCATACCCCCCATCCAAATGCCATTTCTTCTGTTGACGCTGGTGTTATCGCGTGTACCCACCCCCCGTAGTATTCATCTTTTCTATACTGTTTTCAGATATCGAAGTAGGGTTTTCACTTCGATATTGCATCTGATTCTTTGATTGCCGGTGATTTCAGAGGAATTGGGAGTCATGTGGAAAGCACGGCGCGACTCATTTTCCTCTCATTAATAGTTCATTTCTACATACTCGGTCAGAAAAGAGAAAGCTATGACTTATTGAAGATCTCTATACTAACTATTAGTCATATCTTTGCTATACTGGTTCCATACCTGAATGATCTCGCTGTACTACTTGTAGTAAAAAATAAATTTATTCTTTCCCTTTGTTCTCTTTCACATTGTTATTGGTTTGAAGTATGATGAGCAGAGGAATCATGAAATTTATCATACTTTTTGTAAAAAGGATTCTGACATTCCACAAGTGTTGTATTGTTGATGAAACCCCTTACATTTAAACCTCCATTAGCTTTTTTATTCACCTAAAGTTCATTGAATCTTAGTCGGTAAAGTATTAAGTAAAAGTTCACTCCATGGATCGATCTAGCCGGGATTGTCAACCCAGAACTCAGCCAGTTGTTGAAAAAATTCGTGGATACCTTCAAATTCCCGAAAGCTTGGAGCTCGTGGGAAGTTTTCATCTACGCTGTGCTTCTGAGCCTACTGGAAATGGTAGACAAAGGGGTAGCATTGAAGCCAAGTGAACTTGTGCCTATAGGGCACATATACTTTGGCTTCTGAGGGCGTAGGCTCTAGCCAACTGGTCTACCGCGCTATACCAACTTGTAGGACATTACAGAAAGGGCTTCTGGTCGTTTTCTCATCCAGCGATTGTTTACAGGCCAATTCAACTAGGCCATTAAAAGGTGCTGACTATGATTCCGAAAGACGTTTACTGAATGGTTTCTATAATTCCTAGGGGAGGGCGAAAGCATTTGCGACTCATTAGCCTCCCCTCTTCATGTACATTGCCGGTTTATACGTCTGTCTGTCCAGCAGTCTTCCATTTCAGTGGATTTACGATTAATTACCGGAAAGTGGCCTCGACTTTTTCAAAGAACAGGATTTTAAAAAGTACCTCTCATGGATCCAAAAAAGGCATTTAAAACATTTGTGATACATTTACATTAACCTTGTAGAGATGCTTTCATCCTTGGAGACTTCAAGCGCACCTGTGAAGAAGGTACACCCCCACTCGCACCCTCTACCAGGCTAGAGCGCTGGGGTCTGAGGTGCCTTCCCTGATCAGCTCACTTATGCATATGAATATGACTTGGCAAATGAATAAAAGTAACTGTGGGCCCCCAACTTGTAATTACCTCAGTAGGGAATGTCAAATAATCCCCTGGGAAGCGTAATAAAGTGGGATATTGAAATCAATAATGACGAAAGTGTTAGAATACGTCATGGGAGTTTCTATAATCACGTCATACGAACCGAGGATTCCTGAGAAACACAGAGGCTTCAGTTAAAATGATTTTTTCGTTTTTTCATATAATTCATCATGCTGTTCAGTTGAGCCCGTGGAATGAAGGATGCTCGCACAACCTTTGCCAGTAATTCCTCGACACCCTTGAATCAGATTTATGGCTTGGATCATTTGGACGAGATAGATGGCCCCCTATTACCATCCCTACATGCCAAGAAATACCTTGACAGATCTGGCTCCAAATTGGCGAAATATAATGGTGGGTAGCTATTCCGAAGAAAAAGAAAATCTCATTCAAAATATTTATTTATTACTCGCTGGAGGTGAAGGTCGTACAACTGGATACGATGGAATGGGAGGTAACGAAGCCGATGACGTCCTGAAGGCCGACGTTGTTGGCTTCACCACTTGTTGATTCATCTGAAAATGTAGACGAGTTCTCAGAGAAATCAAATTAAAATAAATGATTTTTATTAACATCTTTGACTTCCTAAGCAGCCAATAGTTCCCAAACATTCTATGAAGCCCCAGCATTCCCAGAGTGAGTAGCAAAAAATTTTCCCTGGGAAGGTCAACCAGATTAGCTTGACGCTGATCCTATGAAGAAGGCTGGCGTGAAATTCAAGTCGGCTCTTGAATAAATAACTAAAAGCTGCTGATAAAAAACTGCTTCCCAGTGCCCTCCAAAGCTGAAGTGCACACGCCATGCGGGAAAAAAGGGAAAAATGTCAATTACCAGTTACTAGCAGTAATGGGTCTCTATTATGTCAATCCTGCTCCATTTTATTGCAAGAAATTCTTGAATTCTGCATAAAATTGTCATGAAACCCTTAAACTCACTTCAAGGGGGAAAGGGGGTGGGATGTGGGGATTCCACGTAAGCGGATTACCGTATCAGCTGGGGAACGGCTAAAAATTCATGCTTACCCACTCCCTCCTCCCTGGACTTGAATCTTATCCAAACTACTTTCAATAATCCCCATGCACTCCCTCCCCTGAAGCGACATCTTAACAGAACTACCCTTACCTGCTCATTCTTTTTCGCTTCGGTCAGCAATCGTAACGCTCCCGTGGAATCAGTATAGATAGACGGAAAAGACAACCTTTCTAACGAAAAAAGCCGATGGTCGACGGCGAATGGACGTCATTTGTTTGGACTATGGCTTAGCGTTGTAGTGGAAATCTGATAGAATTTGATTTACAGATGCAGAGTGGTTTTCCTGAACAGTAATAAAATACCTTCCAATCAAATTAAGAATATGCAGGTAGAAGAAAAACCAGGCTACATAAAGGAGCCCATTACTCACGCACATAACCCAATAATTAGGAATTATAAGCATACCAGAAGGTCTACCATTAACCCGTCTAGGCATAATTATTATAACGGGGTTGGG